CGGTACTCTAGTTCCCTCCCGGGAGGGGGGGCGGCAGGTGACTTCTTTCTTATGGAAGCTCACACCACAGCGAGCTCATTCTGCCAGGCGAGAAATTATCGGTGATCTTGTCCGTTTTCTTCAAACTTCGACTTTTCGACACCGATTGATCGCGCGATGAGTCAGTGGCTTCATCGTCGTCGATTTTGTTGTTGTTGTTGTTGTTGAAAACGTAGATCGTGAGCTTGTTTGAAACGTCGTCCTTCAAGAAGCGAGTTAGCGAGCGAAGGAGCGAACGAGAATCAGCGCCAGGAGAGAGCCAATACATACCCGGATGAAATGAAATGAAAGCTCCTGCGGTAGCCGAATGGTAGCGAGAGGCTCGCGTTGAGAGGGGCCACACCGAGGATCTACAGATGAGCGTAATGTTCTTGCCGCCGCCACCGCTGCTATATTGCCGTTGTACCGTACGTTCTTCGTCGCCGCCGCTGCAGCAGCAGCAGCAGCAGCACCGCCGCGCCGCCGTCAAGTGGACAGACCTTTCGGGATGATGATGATGATGACGACGACGTGTTACAATTCTTCATACAAATGCCCCTTAACGATGCAATAGTGAGCGCTGGCATTCGCCGAGGCTCTTATTCAATGCACGTAATTCGTTGGACGGTCGCTACCGGCGAGAAGGAGTCTCGAATACCTCAAACGAGGGGGAAACGAACGATATCCGAATTCTTCGCCTCGAGTGAACGAGGAAATTTCCGGGAAATTAATTCCGAAATCGGGCGGGAGCGGTCTTGCCGAGCAAGTCGTGAGATGCTTCATGTGCCCAATGTAGGATGAGGATTTTTCATGAATGGCGAAAATCTGTGGAGATGTTGCGCGCGATCTGACGGGATTTCGTGTCTTGAAGCGATCTGCTAAGCACGCATCGAGTAAGACGGGGAAACTTCGGGCAAGAAACGACTATCGATCGGCTGGCTACTCCATTGAAAAGTGTTTGTCGGTGCGTGTCACGACCTCTTCTTGCCCTCTCTGCTGTTGGCAGTGCGAACGTTTCTATTGAACGGTGCACGACGACGCTCGACGGTATACGATGCCAGCCTCTGTATTCGTCGATGGACTAAACAGCTAGCCAACAATCATGTGTTGAATGAAAATGCCGTCGGTAGCCACCGTCGAAGAGGCTTCGAATGGTATACACCTCATACCCGTGTATGAAGTGATCCCAGATCATTTCCATTCCTTCGGTGCTCATCCCTTTCGGCTCTCATCTGGGGTTTTCTCGAAGTCCGCGCTTCCGTCGCGGCTAAGCACGGGTGCTCGACACATTGCATTCTGCCGAAAAAACTTTCGCCTCGAAAAAGTTCCCCGGTGGAGAATTTTCAGCGGACGCTTAGCGTGCTTTCGAGCATCAGAGGTCAGGAAGTGCGTTTTGCAGAAGCGCCGCCAATTATCAAAACAGAGCGTAGGCTCTCAAGTTTGCCGACCGAAAGCGCTCAAAACGTCTCGGCATCGTATAAAGTGACTTGTGTGACTTTCTATGCAAATGAATACACCTTGTACTTAGTTAGGTGCATTTTATGTCAGCTCTGACAATCGCTGAGCAGCGAGCGAGCGATCGACGACGACTGCTGCCCTACTCGTGTGAGACTATTACTTCCCCCACTGCTCGCCGACTTGAATAACGAATGAGCAGTTCTACATGTTTTGCTTTCAGGAGCAACGACGACCGTTCTACGACTTCTCCTCTTCTTGTCGCGTCGAGTGACGCCCAAGCACTTCCTTTCGGCTTGTCCCTTCCTCTTCAATTTCGCCCTATTGCTCGTTGAACTGCTCACTGATTCAGAAATAAATTCATTCACATGTCGTCGGTCGCCGGTTCCGGCGGAATTCATTTCGAGCACTTGAACTTCTCACCTCAATGACTCCGTGCGCGTTACACCTCACAGTCGTCGTCCGTCTTGTACTCATCCCGAGATCAAAAGCGTCAACGGAAATTTATTCCATGCCTCCGCTCGATGCTACCGGAGATTTCCCAAGCATTACGAAATTTCAAGGCTTGCTTCCCCGAATCGGGATGGCTTAATGAACTCCGGATGCGATACGGATTCGCTCGGGTTTTCCTATACAGCGAGATCTTGGAAAAAAACACTTGACGACAGCCGGTATGACGCGCATTGCTGATTGGGGAATAGACCCGGCCATAATCCGAGTCTGACCTCAAATCTCGAGTCCATAGTCCTTTTCCGTCCGTCTATTGGAGCGCTGGCCTGCTGCTGAGCCGAATTCGTAGGTTTCGGAGGCCAAACAACCGCTCCGATCCTGAAGGAGGTCGCTGCGCTCTTGAGAATTGCCTGAAGGAGAAAATAAGGAGCATACTATCTAAATTGTTTTCGCTTGCCTTCCCGTTATCTTATTTCGGCGGCGGCAGCAGCAGCATATCACTTATCAGCGCGTAGAAGGTCTATGGATTTGGCTGTTCCGTTGATTCTCCGCTTCCAAATCTAATTTATTTATCTGCCGCAGCTCGTGTTTGAAGTAACCAAATCCGAGGCTGCTCTGTCTCACTGACAGACGCAAAATGGTCGGACTGACGGTCGGTCGGTCGGATGGACGGATGGATGGACCAAGCGAACGATTGACTGGCTGGCTTGCTGGCTGGTTGACTTGATGTCAAACGACTGTAAATCACGGCAATTTGTTGTTGGGCGAGACAAAAACGTTTCGACTGGGGCAGGCGCTCACCCGGCCGCTCGCCTATCACCGAAGCTTTTTTGCTTTGTTTGAAGATAAGTTAATGTATTTAGGGCTGTGGTATCTTTGGATCTTGATGCCTCGAGAGCTTTATCCGAGCTCGGAGATTTCGGAATAGGTCCCTTGCTCACCTCTTGTTGTCAGCTTTCCAGGAAGGTGCTGTCTGCGGATCAACATCACGTGGGATCAACATTTTCCGACGATAACTCATGGAAAGGTTTCCCATACGAATTCCCGAAGTTCCTCCCGCCCCGTAATTATGACACACTGTTGTTCAACAAGCATTCAGTTTACTCATATACGGGGAATCGAAGGTTTTTCCCAGCGCTATGGGACCGATATCCGCCGAAAGGTAGCTCCAGGGCATTCTCGACGAGCTTAGCGGCTGGGTCAGCATCAGCCTATTCCGCTTTGAAGTCGATTCTCTTTCCGGTGACATCGGTGAAGTCTCGATGGGCAGAGAGAGCCCACAGAAGGGAGATTGTAGAGGAGTCGGTTCCGCCAGCAATCGAAAACCGCGACCCTTCTTCTGCTGTAAATCACAGACTAATCATTCTTCTGAGCGAAAGCCTAGGCCGGAGCGAGGCGACGTCAACCACCCACCGGTCCGACATGCACGCGGCCGGCACCCTTGGTTTACGCTCTCGCGAGTTGTAGCATACAAGTCATCGTGTATTGGTCCTTTCAGATCACTCCGCTTTCACTGCTGGCTGTAAACTCCATTGAATACGGTCCACAGAGCAGCAGGCTTTTGAAGTCGTATTTCATGAGCTGTGTCGCAAGTCGCTAACCATCTTTGACTCGCTGCAGAATCCATTGGTGCCGCTACTCGAACGAAGTTTTTCTTTCACTGTCGATCGGTGTTGGATCGCATCTTCCATACGTGCAAGCGCTCAAACCTTAGTCAGTCGGTTCTCCCTTCTCTACTTGAGATTCAAGCTCTCGAATACGAATCCCGAAGAGCACCCGTGAGTTCATTGCTGTCCGCTTTACCTTGAGAGCGATTTTCTCAGAAAACAAGCGCGGTCTTTGACGGGAGGGCGTGATGTCCCTCTTCAATGATAGATGCCCGCTCAAGTTTGAGATTTGCCGGATTCCTTGCTCAGCCTGCTGCAAAGTTGAACAATAACGCTCGAAAGAAGCTTTCCAACGAGAATGGTCCCATACCGGTTCTTAATCCCTGTGTAACTCCTCTCGGAAGATCTTTCCGAACAGGCTTTCCCCGTCTCGAATTCCGAAGAGAATGCGGTGATACCTCGACGATAAGGTGACCGACATCTTGAGCTTTGGTAAGGAGTAACTCCCCTCTTGCTGAGTACGGAATTCGGGACTAATTTTTGTCGTGCCCAAAGAGGGGTCTACAGTTTCCTCCCTATTTATCGCAAGGCCTCGGCCAACCAGGACGGAATCAATCTACGGAACCAATTAGCGCTCTTGTGTGGATGGGGACGGTCATGAAGTCTGAGAGTTCCGCGAGCGTCGTTAGTCAAGTTACCCATGAGACGACCTTGCGGAGGGCTCTGATTCATACCACGGGCTTCCGCCGCCCTGATCGAGCGCGAGAGCCGTGCGATCCCGGTGCACGATTCCGGATCTCATTGTCCGCCGATATGAGTACGACGAGTAATTTATACCTTTTCGATTCCAGAGATCAGGAACACAGGAGTGTTCATGGAGACCCACGGGCCATGACATCGCCTCGTGTACATACATGGACTGATTCGAGAATTCATTTGGCCGAATATCTAAGGTTCTGAATTCGTTCAATAATTTTGCCTCTTTCCCGAGAGCAGCGATCGGCCCCCCTCTGAAACTTCTGCACTCGGTGGAAGTTTGCCCTACCCTTTGGTGAACTCCCGATGAGAACCCTAGAGCTGACTGAGATCCCCTCCCGAAAGGTTCCTACGCGCCGGTTCCCAACTGGGAGCGAGTCGCATCGTGATCGAGCAAACAACATAGTTTCTAGGAGACCTCCTCGATTTAGATTGTCCTCAGCGTTTCTTGTTTATAATAGTTTTATTTAGATAACCATTACGTGGCAACATGCTCTCTCCGCGCCGATTATGCGGACAAGCGTCGAGCGATCGCCTCGGTGATATTTACATGAGTTTACAGGATCTTGGAGCGCTGAAGTTCAACTTTGGTCGGAAGATTTTCAGCGAAGCGAGTTCATCTATTTATCGTCTACTGTACTTTGAGATCGCCTCCGGTCTGCCCACATTCCAAACTGTTTCTCTGTCGTCGCCATTCCTCGATCGTCCTAATATTCAAAAATCGTCGGTCGTTTCCTCGTCCATTGATTCATCGGAGCTCCCGCTGATGTACTCCGCTTTGATTCCGTGAGTGAGCAGATGACGTCGGAGGTCGCAGTTCCGTCTGAATTCCTTCTTGCAGTGATCACACGTGTATGGCTTGATATCTGTGTGTGTCAGTTGGTGGGTTTTCAAATTCGAACGCTGATTGAAGGTCCGTCCGCACTGTAGGCACTTGTGTGGTGAGTCCTCCATGTGGAGCATCTTGTGGACGGCGAGCGTTCGGCTCTGACAGAAGCCTTTCCCGCACTCTGTACACTTGAATGGTTTCTCTTTCGAATGGATGTACCTGGAAGATTGAAATTGAAAAATTGTAGAACCTCCGATGAGTCGTGTCTCTGTCCCGCCAACCGCTTCTCGAGTTTCGTACCAGGCGAATCAGAGGCGAAGATTCGCGCTGTAACCTCAGCTGCGCGAGGTGATTCGCTTGAATGACCCACTGACTCTGTCTAGCTAACTGACTGACTGACTGACTCAATGACTGGATGACTGTATGAACGACGCCTGAGTGCTCCGGGGAGGAAGCTCCGTTAGCCGTCACCCGAATCAATAAGCTTATCAACTGATGAGTTCGCCGCCGGAAGAAAGCTTCCCCCACCGTTTGTACCGTTAAACATCTGCCGCTGTCAGTGTCGTTCAAATGCGCGGTCTTGGCGCGATCGGCAATCGAAATTGCCGTGCGCATATTCGTCAGAAACCGTCTCCCGATCGAGCGAGTACGGATTGAGCTCCCAGGAGCGCTTTCCGCAGCCCAACAAGACCACGAGAGCATTGCTTTCTCCCGATCTAGTTCTCGGCACGAAAATTCTTTTCAATTATTTAAGGCACATTATTTACCTGTGATCTCTCAGATGGTCCTGGCGCCGGAACGCTTTGTGACAGATGTCGCAGTTGTAAGGGCGTTCGTCGGTGTGAGTCCTCTCGTGGATCATCAAATTGTAGCTCTTCGTGAAACGACGGTTGCAGAAACGGCAAACGAACTCCTTCTTCGCTCGCGTTGACGTCGGCTGCTGCTGCTGCTGGAGCGGGTTGACATTGTCGACGGGGTGGATGTCTTTCAAGTGCTTCGCAAAACCATGCTGCGGAGCGGCTTGTTGCAGGTGGTGTTGGCGATCTTGTTTGTGCTTCTGGAACTGCTCTCGTTGTTGCTGCTGCTGTTGTTGTTGCTGCGAGCAGAGTTGTTGGAGGATGATGTTCCTGATGGCTAGCTCGTGGCTCCTTTGGATCATGCAGGCTGAGATCACCGTCGCTTGAGCTTCACGTTTCGCACTGGTCTTGTCCTCGACAGCCGACTCGGCGAGCTTGGCGAAGTTGAACTTCTTCGTTGTTGGAGGAAGTCCAACGAAGGTGCGGTTCGGAACGAAAGCCGAGTGCGGGTTCTGGATGGGTGGCGACGACGAGGGCGAATAGCACGTCAGATTATACCGCGGCGACTGACGGAAGGCCGGATGAATTTCCGGAGTGGGTGGAGGTGTCGGCAGGCAGCGCTCTTGCCCTGGAAACGGAAACCGCGCGGTGAGATTTTATTCCTCCGGACACAACATAATTCAGCTGAAAATGAGCCGTCCGTGCAAAACTTCCCGTTTACCAATCGCTTGGGGCCTCAGCGGCTTGTAATGAGCCGGACGAAGCGAGCGAGCGTTGAGCGAGCTAAGGAACGCTACCGAAATTACTCGAATGGGTCGACCAACGAAGCCAACGGCGGATGCTTCTGCCTCGCTAAACTGATCCGAGCTAGCTGACTTCGACGGATAGGTTCGGACGCATGAATCCGTACGAATGGACACATAGTGAACGCCGGAGCGATGCTCAATGGGAGTGTCCGTGCCAAGCGGCCACGATCCGCCGGTCTCGGGCAACTGAATGAATTCCTCTTCTGTCGGAGCTCCGGCGCGCCGGTATTCCATCAGGCTTTCATTCTAGCCCGGATCGGTCGTTTCGAAGTTGGTACGTGCCTTGTCTCACACGACGAAGTCTCAATTAGGTCGTCAGCGTGCATCGAGTGCCAGTCTGGGTGAAGATTGAAAGCGCGGCTGACAGAAGGAAAATTACGTTTTTCGTCGAGACGCAGTGTACGATAGCACTTTCGGCCAGAGCTCCGGTGAGAAAGTGACGCACGCATGGAAGGCCCGGACGATTGATTATGAAAGATTGTTCTTCCGAGATCGAGACGAGAAGTGTACAATGCGAGAAATGCTCAATCCACCAGTTTCTGGGAGCTCGACGGTGGAGCATTGCTGAACGCAATTAGGCAAACACACGGTCAGCTGTCGGACCGGTGGCGATAGCTTGAAGTAGAACGACAGATGTTTGTCCCCAAGTGTTTGTGCGGTGTGTGTATTCGGTGCGCTACCAAAACGCGTCGACGTAAGAACTTGAATCCATGCTTTCGTCTTCTCCGCCTCGACGTCGGACGCTTCCACTCAAGGTTCGCGTTTATGTCCGTCACAAGATCAGAGCCGTTGCTAGACCTCTTTTTTTGTTGAACCTCGCGGAATTTTCGGTCGAAGGACAGGGTGGGTTCATCAAGTGTCTTCTCATGCAATCGGCCCGACCCATGAATTTGCGAAAACGGATCTCGTCACCGAGCTAGAACGCACGAGTGGAGCATGCCTCGGCTTCCGGCGCGAAATGACGGGCCAGGTCCGATCATCGAAAATGGAAAAACCCTCGCAGATTGGGAAAATAGGAAATCGCTGAACTTGAATGTGGAAATCGATCGATCGACATTCACATCGCCACTGCCGGCACGGAGGTTCGCCCCCGGAACGGGGGAGTTCGGCGCTGTCCCTCGTCCCTGGCAGAAAGTCCATTGTCCGAAAGTCCATTCTTATTGAAGGGGACCAGTACTGCCCAACGCAATCTCTACGAGGCGGCAGACGTCGGTGACGGCGGAACGTCAAAAAGGTATCTAAGCTCCGATGGTGCCAACCAGGAAAGCAGAAAGCTAGGGAATCTCGGTTGAGAGATTCAATCCGGTGGATTGGAGAAATATTCCTTCGAAAAGCCACTCACCATCTCCGGCGAAAGTAGGCGAAGACGAGTTGAAGTGTTGAATTAACATATCCGCTGTGTGGACGGCACGATTCCCGGCTGGACGATGTTGAAGTGACTGACTGCCCGTAGGAGCGAAGTAGCTGGTCTCCCTTGCGTGAAGACAGAGAACAACAACCAGTAGCCGAAAAGTCGAAGTAACTACTGAATCAGAAGTCGCCAATCCGTTGAAATTAAGAAGCAACAAGGAGCTGCCCTGAAGCCCCGCCCGACGTTCCCCTCTCTTCTGGTAAGGGCACGCACTCTGTTCGGCGGCACCGGCCGCATCAAGCACCAGAGAACGACCGACCAATGATGATAATCCATTGGCGCTAAGTTAAGCTCGCTACGCCTCGTTTTTCGACGTTTTTCCCATGTTTCGGACACTCTCCTGATTATTCATGGAGCGGCTACCAGAAGATTGTTTTCCACCGCAATTACCGGGAAAAAACACCTGTCTCTTAATTGATCCCGGCACGCGCGATTCATGCTCGTCTTCAGCTCATGCATGAGATATTCACGGAAGCGAACGTATTTTCCCAAGCTTCGAATCAATAGAGTTTTCCTTGAGCTGTCGACGTTGGAGCTTCATCGTGGCTGGTCCACAGATCATCAACTGCCATGGAAGCGAGGATCTTGACGCGCAGATCGACTTGTTTTGTCGAATCGCCATTGTCCGGCGAGCCGACGATCACAGCGATTCCCGCTCCCGTGGCTGCCCACAGACCGGAAAGAATTAAGAGATCGATGCCGCGATTAAAAAAGCCAGTCAATAGAGATAGCGGCTGTCCAACGTGCCAAAGCCGAGACCTCATGGTCACCGAGTCCGCAATCGAACTTTCAAGGAGAACTTTAAACCTGCTGCGGAGCTTCCTACTTACGCATTTGATAACAGCAAGGTCGAGCTGGGAACGCCTCCGCGATCCGCGGTAAGCATCGCGTTGCTGTGTATTCCACTGGATAACCTCGCTCGAAACTGCAGCTGCGCAATCGATCGGCGCGCGACGAAGTTCTCGATCCGAATCTCCTCTGGGTACCGCTCCGGATTATTTTCCCCTGCGGGAAAAGTCCTCGGCCGTAGGCGGAGCGCTGAGCCACTTGGAGCTCAGACGCCTCACGAGGTCGATAACGAAATTCTCTATTACCTCCCTGGCTTGTCCTCTGCGGTAGGATTGGAGTCGCTCTTCTGGAGCGTGGTCACCGTCTAGTGCGACGCATTTAGGTCTACACCGATCACTCTCGCTATCCAAATCAATATCACATTTAATTCTTATCTTTGGCTTGGTCGATGTGCCTACCGATCTTGGCGATGAGCGTGCCGTGTGTCACAGCATGTCTCTCCAAAGTCTGGGCCAACTCGACGCTATGCTTGGTCTGCGAAATCCACGGAAAGGCAATTCATTATTCGAACCTCTTGGCCCAGGCTTTCCAGGTTTTCGCCCGGTGAGGGCAGCGGCTCGGGAGGCGAATCGAATCGCTCGATATTCCGGCCGAATTTACTCAATTGGAAGCTGCAAGGATGTCGCGCAGTTCCGCCTCAATTTCGGGGGCTCGCATCGAGCGTCGCGGTCACGTGGGAAACTCCCGCATGACGCAAAGCAGGCTGAGTTCAGACCGGAGAAGTCTCGAACTCGTCTCCGAGAATCCGTGTAACGATCCGAGCTTTGGAACATCGAATCAGTCATCGCGTCACATTGGCTCGAGGCGCGTCGATCTCGAATCAGAATTGATTCGGTTTTCAGAACTCTTTGATGTCTAACACATGCATCTCGCAGGGTACGATCAGAAGCAGCCCCAAAATCATGGGACGACGACGATCGTGTGAAACTTTCCCAACAGAGCTCGTTTCGGAGCCGCCCAGTGTTTGATGTGGCTTCCTATGAACAGCTTCGAGACAGTGCAGATTTCGGCTCAAAGGGTTTACAACTCCGCTTCTAATGAGACACAAACATACGGAACCTACCCTTTTTTTAGCGCTGTGTGTTAGGTCAGAGGCAAGACGACTTTCTCCGAAGCGATCCGACAGCTCCGCTAGACGGCCCAGCGCAACCTCTGAATATCCCCTCAAAGGGTTCCGAATCAAAAAAAAGCTTGCGGCCAATAATCGTAAAAAAAACTTCGATCCACCTACGCGCGGGCCACATCGAATCGGAGCGAACGTCGTGCGGTTTTACTTGTTAAAGCCGACCCAAGTAGCATCTTCAACTCCGGATGTCATCGACTACAATTTTTACACAACGGACGTGCCGAGGAGATACCTCGAGTCGGGAAGGATTCCATGCGCAGGCGTTCCCATTTAAGCGCTATCTGGATCGCTTTTTCCCGATTCACCGAGAAATCCCGTCCCTGACAGCCTCAGCGATACCGCGGATAGCGAAGCGGTCATGGCGCTTGAAGTCGGACGTATGGGGGCTCACATCTAGGGCCGCGCGTGGACAGACGGCGGCACTCCCTGGGGTGGAGCACAAGAGCGCGAAGGAAATTTTCAGAGGAACGATCTCGAGGAACTCGCTATCATGGAAGAAACGGATATTTTGAGTTGCGGGACTGCGTCCAGATTCCCAATTCCCATGGATGCAATTTCTTCTCTGTCGCAGGCCGGAGCTTCCTGTATTGGTCAGTCGTAAGATTTACGAAAGACCAGACTCGCTCTCGGAGCTCAAACTTCAGACGTGACCGTGCTTGTGCGAAGCTCCAGAAGATCCGACCACGCAAATAGACCGAGTATTCCGGGACGAGTCGATTTCCTCCGAACAGAAAGAACGCGCTCCGTAGAAGTTGTTATTTCATTCGGGAGACACCTGTTTGATAGTTGTGTTGCTTTTGATGGCGATGATGCCGTCGCCGCCGCCGCCACCGTCGCCGCTGCTGATGGTAGCGGTGGTGTATCCGAACGCAGAGGAAGGAATTCCTCGTGGCTCTACAAGCAGCGTTTCGTGGCTTTGGAATGCGGACCTCGTTGCTGATCGTGGCCAGCTACAGAATTGACGTCCGCACACAACGCCACCCTCGCCTTCGGATTTTTTCGTTTTTCGTATTTTCAACTATGTATGTACAGAAGTCGAACAGGCGACAAGCCCAGAATTCCTTCATGGAGATCCGTTTCTCGTCCATCCGATGCTCGTCGTAAGTGTCCGGTCGTGCACATTGTTACGATTTGTGGTGGATGAGGCGATCGGACCCTTTATTTCAGCAGGACACAGCGGCTCACGCTTGACACTCGATACTCGCTGCTCGATTCGAGATTTCTCGGACCCAAATCGGAGTTCCGCTTCTCCGACGCTTTTGCAACGTCCGAGTGATCAATGAACTCAGTCCGAAGTTCCGCACTCCGGTCATCCCTTTGCGGTTGAAGAGCTCTAACCACTGGCCGATGATGAGTTCGGTATTGACGATGATGATGATGATGCCGAAGACGTCGATGATCGCGATGATGATGGGGTGGTCGTCCGTTCGGTCCGTCCGTCCGTCCGACGATCGCTCGTCTGCGGACTCTCCGCTCGGTGTGGAGGAGGGTGTGGACGACCGATTGCGGCCACAGCAACAGTGGACTGCAGCGACGGCGGCGGCAAGTAACATCCGGGAACAGAATGAGGAGGGGGAGGGAGTGGCTGGTTGACTGGATGTTCGACTGACGGCCAACAGAGCACCATCTTGGCCACGGAGTAAGAATGCGGACCGAATTCTGCGTTCCGTGCACGGCCAATTGATGATTCCCTGATACGGATCCATGCTCACCCACTGATTGTTATTAACCAAGCGACCAGCGATGCTTTCAGGTATTCAGATCATCCGAATGTCGGATAATTCGCCGATGTCGACGACTGCTCAGATGTGTAAATTGCGGCACGGACTCGTTATCGGTTTACTCGCGGTGAATTCCGATTGTCCGCATCCGAGCTGGAACCGCGCGAACGACCAAGCTCATCGTGAGACGCGCGAATCGCAAACGTACGGAGACAATCATAGACCACCAGCACCGGGCGGCGGGCAGCAAATGGCAAGAAATCCAGCGAGCGAGCGAGCGAGCGACTACAAGTCACCACCCCCACATCGCCTACGCGGATTCACTTTTTCAAGTGGCCCTTTGTCTTCGTATTTCTGCTTCTGCATCGACTGACAAGGAACGAAGGACTTCGGCTTCCGAATCAGACAACGCGGATCATCATTTTTCCTTGGGGTCACCAGTGTGGGAGTACCGAGCTGCAACCAAGCGGCGCATTGATGCGCATCACGATTACGGAATCACCGCGTTCGCCGGCCGACAACCGTCGTCGGAGCGGCGACTCCATATCGCCACCAAAACTCTACTTTGAACGACCGACGTAGCGCAATTCTGATTCGGCCCCGGTCCGGTCGTTCCCGTTTAATTTCTACGGTGAGCGCGCACGCTGACGTCTACTGGAGCGTCCGATCCGAGGTCGTCGTCTTCTCCTCCGCTGTCGTCCACAATTCCTGGCCACGTACTCGAACGAAAAAGTTAGAGCCCAAGCGCTAGCTGAGAAGCAAATGTACGTAGCTTCATACATCGATCCCAAGCCAGAGCCGCGTCCGACGAGATCTTCGGGAGCGCTTCTGGGGAGCCGACGGAGGTCTGCAAGGTGTAGAGGTGCTCTTGAAGGTGTAAACGTCGTTAGCGAACGGGGCTGGCAAAGGCTTGAAACGAGTCCGAGAGCCAAGCATCTCGGGAAGTCGAGATCTGTGGCGCGCTCAATGGCCGGTTAGGGGTGGACGTGATTAAGAGCAACTTATTGACGGACGCTTACTCTCGCTTACCTGCTTTCGATACGGGCGGTTTTATGCCCATACGGCAACAAGTTGTTCTGTGTTCTAGGAAGCTCCAACGTTGCGGAAGGTTTTCTTTGTGGTTGGTGTATTTTAGATCGACTTCAACTTGACCTCAGAATTCGGAGAAAAACGGTTGTGGAGTTGGCCGCATCCTGGAACTGAACTACCATTCTGACGTCGTAGTAGGAGTTGTAGTTTAGGTCACGATTATGACATGAAGCGAGCGTTGATGTCAAAGAACAA